TTAATAATGTGTAATTAGCAGCTCTGGAAAGCACCAAGGATCATAATTTAAAGCAATACGGTCAAAATTATATTTGTGCACATAGTTGCCTTTTGAAGTGCGGCAGTGGGTGGCAGTTTGCTGTGCTTGTGTATTTTTAGGTTAACAGCTGCTTTCTGAATGCCTCCAGGGCATCAGTGGAAGCCACTTCCTTGCACCCAGCAAAGTTGCAATGTCCTCTGCCTTGGTAGAGCTGCTTGGGACAGCGACAAGAGGATTGTGGTAACTTGCTACCGGTGGTGAAGCCTGGTGCAGAAACATGGAACTAGTGCCTTGCCAAAACATGTTGATGGTAGTGTCCTTCCTCTGTGGGAGGCAGTGTCCCACAGAGTTTTTCCAAGTGGAACCTGTTGGCTCACAAGCAAGTTGGGCTCTTGCCTGTGCATGAAGCTCTCAGCTTCTGCTGAGCTTGGCACCATTTTCCTTCTTCGGCCTCTGCATTTACTGCTGATAGCAGTGGGATGTTCTTTATGCGAGACAAGAATTTTCATGTTCTCACCCATGCATTTAGTGTCTTTACATGTGGCCCAAATTTGCACAGACTTTCTTTCCTTATAAAGGTAAGGTCAAAGGCAGAATGTTTTTGGAACATCTGTTATCTCACCTGTATTACAGGGAAGGCCAGGAATGTCCACTTTGAACTCCTACCACATGCCAAAGCACAACCGATGTGTCCTTGAGATTGTGTTCCTTGAGATCATGCTTCTCAAAAATCTCTTAAGAAACTACCACACTAAAGTGATTTCTTTCAACTTTTATAGCACTATTATGCATTTTTGTAACATTTTTTTCACATTTGAATATTTTTGGATCATATGTTTTCATTGCAGAGATTAGTAGGGAAATTCTCCTATTTAAAGTTTTGCTGCTACTTTATCTGAAAGCATCATGCTTCTTCCCTGCATCCCCCACAAAAGTATGAAAGTGTCAATAGCATTTCAATATGTATTGCAATGCAGATACTTTATAACATCAGGGAGATTGCTTCTGGTGGATAATCTCTTGTGGTTAGTAACTGTTATGCTCCTTTTAAAATGGATCAATCCGTTGGGCTTTGTGCTCTTTTAAGCATACACTTATTCAGTTTAGCTCATTGTCTAACCTTCATGATTTTTTTTCAGTAAGTGAATCTAGGTTTGATAATCATAAAAATGTGGAAAAGGCATACTAAATTAGGCCTGGATACCTCTGGAAGTAAAAATTAATAACTAGCACTTGCAGAAAGCTTTTTATGAATAAGTACTAAATTACTTTACAGGAGTTAAGGTAAACAGATGTTCATAGATATTGGTGGATTAGCTGAGTTACAAAGTCATTGTCAGAGCCAGGAATGCACCCTTCTTATGACATTATTTTCAGGCTGTGAACCCTTCCCTGCCCTGTTTTTCTTCCCAATTTATTAACAAAGAGTGAAAAAAACATGGTCTTGGAGTAGTGATGGTTCTAGAGCTAACTGTATTAAGACACTTCAGGAGAACCCCAGAATTTGAAAACGGTGGTAAGAGATGATGACTAATGCAAACAGAGAACCTTCCTTGGACAAACTATTGAGATGAACAGGTGTCTGGGGCTTTGTGAAAACTGCCTGTGTGCTTAGAAGGAAAGGGTGCTCCTGGTGGGGAGTGAAAATGTCTGCCTTGAGCCATGCTGCTGTAGAAAAGCCCACAGGTTGGCTGCTTACAGTTTACAGGGCTGTAATGAGCAGCTCAAGGCAATTTAAACCTGCCCTGATATTGAAGGGGAGGGGGGGTGCCCTTGTTCTTCTCACCATGGGTTATATTCATCCACTGCTCCCCTACCTTCAGCTCCAGAGTCAGTGTGACTCACTTGTAGAACCCAGTGGAGGAAATGAAGGTTATATCTCAAGTTAGATCAGGTGCTTTCTTCATATGTGATTGCTTATATAGCTTGTGTCTCTCATGACTTTTCATCTGCTTTAGCAGAGTCAGGCTAGACCTTCTTCAGGTTGAACAGTGTCCATGCAGTTTTTCAAGTCTCATTCGCAGAGGTCAAGGATTTAATCAAGCATCCTTCTGCAGAGTTTCAGTATTACTTACTGCTCCTCCAGCTATTCAGTGATTACATTGTCCCTTTTTAATCCGTGGCATGGTTGGGGTTGCCTTCAGTACTGTTTCAGTTTATGCCATGGTTTACTTGTGAGATCTGTCTATTTTATTTGGATTTACTTTCTGGCTATTAATTATAAATTTATGATAATTCAGAAATGACCATCAGTTCATCACCTTTAATGATTTTTTAAATGGGTGTAAAAGTGTCTATTTCCCCTATTTAATTGTATGCTTAATTTCAAAGTTATATAGAAGAGACCATACCTAAAATTAATGTGAGGGAACTTAAAACTATGTCTAATATCTTCATATGTTAGCATTTTAAACACTACTGGTGATAGCTCTCATAATGATAAGCAGCATCTGCCTGCAAGTCTGTTTTCCAGTCTATGATGCTGATCGTTGCAGGAGATTCTACCTTCCTTTGCTCCAGAACTGATTTATTCCTTGAAGTGTTTCATTCCCCTGGCAGTGAAAACAAATCAACTTGACTCTTCCCATAGAGTGAAGTGGGTAGATGGTATTCATTAGAAATTATGTATCACATAGAGACAACCATGGAACTGCAAACCTGATAGAAGAAATGTGTATGTTGTCTCCCTCTGTATACACGTAGATATACACATATGTATGAAAGCTGAAAAGATCAGTGGACACAAAGGTTAGTCCTGCAATGCTGATTTATCATCCTAGTCTATAGCACAGCAGTGTGTCATGTTTTACGAAGACGATGACAAAAAGCCACCTTAAGAAGGTTTACTGGTTCTACTTAGGTCAGCTAATATGCCTGAGGCCTGATGACCATCATACACTCCTGATGGCCTCTCTGTGTCTTTCAGGGCTGATAGTATAGAGGGTTAAGCTGGGAAACTGTCTTTTTGTCTTTTTCTGGGCTGAGGGCATTTGAATGATTATGCGAAGTATCACTTTGCTAGGACAGTTGTGTTCACATTGGTATAGCAGTATATCATTATGGAAATGCTAGTAAAGCATCTTTGTCTAGTGCACCGTAAAGGTTTTAAGAGAAATTCTGCACATCTGCAAGATGATTATGGATCTCGTGGGAGGTATTATCCTTGCTACAGTGACTACGTATTTTCTGTCCAAAAAATCTTTTCTGTTACGTTGGTGGAGAGAAAAAAAGAGAATGAAGAGAAGCAAAGTCTTCATCTACAATCACACTCTTTCCTTACAAAATTATTTCACAAAATATCAACCATCCTTCTCAAGGATATAATTTGGTATATCTTATAACTGTGTCTGGCAGGTGGGATGAAGGGCTATTCAGGGATTCACACTGCATTGTGAAGACCCAGAGAAATACTGGGAAGCAGAATGCTTGCCCAGACCTTTTTTTCTTCCTGCTTAGGATCCGAGAAGCCAAAAATGTAAGCACAAATGGATATTGGCTAGGCATGAGTAAACTCTGGTTAGAAAAGAAGGTTCCTCATCTTTGTATATCCAGTCATGGCCTTCCAATGGTACCCAGGTCAGAGAAAGATTTCTGCTTTTCAATTAGAGCTTCTTCTGTTTATCTTGGTCCCTTGTGATTGTGGGGTGGCTTGTGAGGTTAGAGGTTCAAGGGAAGGCAGGAGCGGAAGGAGACAAGTGGGCAAAACAGCTGCTGCTGGGGAAAAATTGAGGTCCAATTTCAGGGAAAGTACCTGAAACTGTAACAATGAGAGATGAGCTCTCAAAAAGTAATGAAATCAGAGGTTAGGAGTCAAAGAAGTGCTCACTTTGGGGCTCAGGTGTATTGGGAATGACTGTTACACAGATGGGAAGCATGTGGATGCACGGAGACTGCCTGTTACTATTCTATATTGAAAGCATGTATGTGCACAGTCAATATTTAAAGGCATTTCTCTTGCTGAATGCTTTCAAGTTAAGTGTAACTACTAATATTAGATATTTAAAGATAATTGCTATGTAGCGATAAGCACATGCCTGAAATTTCCTGTCATTTGCAGAGTATTTTACATGTCAGAAGTGGTTAAGTAAGGATTAATATTTCCATTTTGCAGCTATGTGGTGAAGGAAAAGAGTCTGAACTGGGTGCTTTATTGTTTGCTAGTGGTCATAGAGGAAATCTTTGTGAAACTACAAACAAGACCTGAAACTTCTTGACTTCTTGCCATATACCAAATCCATTCACTAACTGCTCGGTTTTTCTCTTTTTCCCTTGTAAGCTTGTCGGCTTATCTGATGATAGAAGAGTAGCAGGTGTCCAATGAAATAAACAAATCAGTAAAAGTAGCAGTAACACCTGGAGGTCAGAACCTGACCTTAAGCAGATGAAACCTAAAAGGAACTTAATCATGATCATGAAGCTTGTTTTTTATCTTTCTATAAAACAAGTTTCTTTATGCTAACATTTTGTATTTAACTATGTGGTTGTCTAAGGCTGAGATATGATTGCTGATTTCAAAGGATGCAATAATGATGAAGTCCCTGTTCCACCACACAAGAAATAAGAAGTTCAGATGCCTTAGGACTTCCTGGAGGTTTCCGTGTTAGGAAGTATTTTGTTTGCTAAAATGCAAACTGGAAACATGGTCATAAACTTATTTGCATTGTTGGGCACTTAATTACCTTTAAAATATACCCACAATAGATTTCCTTTTAATACAAGTCTATGTTTATATTTTCCTCTCAAATAAGTTAATGAAAGGTGTTGTAGTTCGAGAATTTATGTGTTTTTCTTTGATGTTGTAGTTGGTGATATCATTGCATTTTGAATAGCTTTTAGGTTTGCATAGGAGTACATGGGTACGTATCAGTATTTTCCTGAGCATTATTACATATCACCCCTCAGACTAATACACAGTGTGGTAAGATCAATCAGGAAATGAATACAAATGTTAACTCATCTTTTTTTTTTTTTTTTTTTTTTTTTTGATGGCTTTTTTGAATCAAAGGAAAGCAACACTGTTTTCTCCTTTCTTGGACTGAAACCTACTTTGGCATCAAAGGTCAGTGTAGTATTGCAAATTTTTCATGGAATTCTTGAAATATTGAAATTGATTTTTTTTTGAACTGAAAGAACTCTGTGTATTTGGATGCACCACTGCCCTGATCCATACCTTGTCCATATCAACTTCATGCTAATGAGGTAATTGAAATGGTTGCCATGAAAAGCAAAGCATTTTAAATGAAACCAAGGATATACATGGGAGTTAATTTGAGACAGCAGATAAATAAGTTTAAAGAATACATTCTGCTTCACATTATCAATTTAAATTGAAAACAACTGATTTAATTATAACAGGAGACAGAATTAGTGTCTTTATCATTGGAATATCTGCAGCTTATGTCACCAAAACATCGTCTTACTGAGCCAGCCTGACAATGGTTCAACCAGGACACCATTTATTCGTTAGGCATTAGTTGTTGTTTTTTAAATGCTGAAATGCTGGAGCAGTCAGGAGTTATATCAACTTTTTGGGTAAGAATTTGGTTTTTACAAATACATATATATACAGGTAAGAACACAAAGCCAGATAACATCTTTCTGTTGAGGGCAGTTTAATAGAGGAGATTTTATTGACATATGGAAGCCTGGACACTTGTTCAAAGAGACTATGGTGTACCTTTGAGCAGTAGATCAGACAAAGAGGGGAGAATTTTTCTTCCTTTGACTGCTGTATATGTAGTGGTTGGTAGTAGCACTGTTTCAGGCTTGGGTATCTACAAAGTTCCTCTTCTGCCAGGAATTCAATTTATTTCTGAAATCCATGAGTGACAGAGAACCTCAAAAGGGAATCACAAAAGCAGGTTATTTTGGCAGCCTGCCTCTCTTCGTAGCTTGAAGAACTAGTCCCAGGAAAAAGATGATGTCTTACAGCAGTCAAAAATAGCAGCTCTGTGCAGATCTGTTCCTGAGAAATAACCTGCTGTAGGCCTGAAGGAGTGTCTCTATAAACTTGGCCAGATCACTGCTTCAGTCTGGTAGTACTTCAGAGGGATGCATCCTCAGCTGCTGTGTGGACCAGGACTAGGATCTCCTTGTATGCAAAGGTCACAGACACAGGAGATTGAAATCTTTATTTATCTTTATTGATGATCTAGAGGAGGGGATCGAGTGCACCCTCAGTCAGTTTGCAGGTGACACCAAGTTGGGTGGGAATGTTGATCTGCTCGAGGGCAGGGAGGCTCTGCAGAGAGACCTGGACAGGCTGGAGCCATGGGCTGAGGCCAGCTGGAGGAGTTTCCATAAGACCAAATGCTGGGGCCAGCAGGGACAGGGAAGGGATCTTACCCCTGTACTCGGCACTGGTGAAGCCGCCCCTCGATTTCTGTGTTCAGTTTTGGGCCCCCCACTACAAAAAGGACATTGAATGACTCGAGCGTGTCCAGAGAAGGGCAACGGAGCTGGTGCAGGGTCTGGAGCACAGGTTGTATGAGGACCGGCTGAGGGAACTGGGGGTGTTTAGTCTGGAGAAGAGGAGGCTGAGGGGAGACCTCATCGCCCCCTACAGCTCCCTGAAAGGAGGGTGCAGAGAGCTGGGGATGAGTCTAACCAAGTAACAAGAGATAGAACAAGAGGGAATGGACTCAAGTTGTATCAGGGAAGGTTTAGACTGGATAATGTGAAGCATTTCTTTACAGAATGGGTTGTTATGCGTTGGAATGGGCTGCCCAGGGCAGTGGTGGAATCCCTGTCTCAGGGTTGGCACAGCACTGAGGGATATGGTGTAGTTGGGAACTGTCAGTGTTAGGTCAGTGGTTGGACTGGATGATCTTCAAGGTCTTTTCCAACCTAGATGATTCTGTGACACTGTGAAAATGTATTTTCATAACATTAATAATATTTTTGTTGTTGTTGTTGTTTGTTTTAAATAGGAGTCAGAACCCTAGAAAGCCTATCTGAAGTATCGACAAGCACATCTCCTGGATGAACGACCCTGTTCTTCAGCACACAACAGCTTCCATAATGGATCACTGTGATAGAGCAAACATGCATCATTAGTAGTAGTCTGCTTGCCATGAGGCGGTGGTCTCCAATAATGTGGACTTAATAACACATATATGAAACAGGATTAAGGCCGGGCTACTCATCTTCCTTTTTAAAAATACTCATTGCTGGTGATTTACTTTTGTCTTTGGATGTTTTTTGCAACTGGCTCTGGTATTCTAACAAACACATATGTTTGAGAATAAGGAGTGAAAGTGAAGGGCTTCTGTCATGCATGGATATACTTACATAGTCAGATTCCTTACCTTTTTTAATTCTTGCAGCTACTGTTAGTTGAAATTAGCTCACCATGATAGTTAAAGTGCTGGTGGTTACTAGAATGTTTATGCTGGCTATGATCCAGAAGGTAAAAACCATCAATCTTAAAATCTCAGTCTAAGCCAATAACTGCCATTTTTTTGATGTACATTTGTTTTTTTGTGCTGTTTTGCTTGATCATGTTTATTGTAAGAGCCATGGGCTGATAACCTTGTTCATGAAAACTTGATTTGTCTAATGATGCACACTGCAATTGACTGTTTAAAAACAGTTGTTACCATGGAGGAGGTGCCAAAGTGAAATAACAGAATCACAGAATCGTCACAGAATACAGAATCACAGAATAATGTTTTGACATGGTTCCTGTTCCAAATGCAGGTGAAATGTGCAGGAAAACACTTGGTGGAAAATAACTGAGTAGTTCAGAAGAAGAGGTTTCATAGCTAATGATAATACTAAGTTATCTCTTAACCAAGAAAGGTTTAACACCCAAAGTCAGAACTCTGTAGTTGGACTGTCTTAAAATGAAATTTTGCCAAAACCTTGAGGTTTACCTTCCATAACACACAGCTCCACCATTAGCCACATGAGAGACAGGGGATACTTTGAGAGGCAGGGATCAGTGCCATGGATGGTTAAACAGTCTACCGTGGTCCAAGAGCACACCTAACTTGCCCAGCTGTTGTCCTAGTTATAACCCCAGGTGTGGAAATGTGGAGGTGCCTCACAGACAGTGAGAAAGCTGAGTGTGTGCTTTGCTGGATGAGGCCACAGTGGTCAGCTCAGCTGAGGAACAGGAGCCAAGTGAAGGAAGTGGAGATTATTCCAGTGGGACTGTATTGATGCACATAGCAGAACTTAGGCTCGTCACTTGCCAATAACCATTACAAAATGCATTCTAGACAGAAGCTGAATTACATTATGCATTTTGAATCAAGTCTGACTATGAAAATAACAACTACACTGTCATGTGGCTTTTACTCAAGTGATTTTATAATGACAGGGTAGTGCCATTCCACTAAATGTCCATATGTCTTTGGCTAAATGGAAGACAAGCATTATGTGGGAAAGTTTCTTTGCAATCACAGCGTCACTCAGACTGTGTGTCTTGAAGGAAGCAAAACTTGTAAAAAGTGTCAGGAAACAGCACTGTCTGTGCAACAGATCACATCTGTTTAAATCAGTAACCATGGTATCCAAGACATGTTAGTTGGAAGGGACACCTGGAGGTCAACTGGTCCAGCACTGTCAAAATGAGGGGTAACACCAACGCTAGCTTGGATCAGATATGGGTTTGTCTAGCAGAATCTTAAAAATATCCAGAGATGAAGATCTCATAACCTGTTAGGTAACCTGTGCCTGTGCTGCAGTAGTCTCCTGGCAAAAAATTTCTTTTAATGTCCAGCCTTAACTCCTAGGCTGTAATTTGTGGCTGTTGCCTTTGCTGTGTTTTCTGACACTCATTGGCACCATCCTTTTTGTAATTGCCCTCAAGATAGTTGCAGGCTACCACTAGAACACCTCTTAGCCACCTTCTTACCAGATCATGCAAACCTGGCTTCCTCAACCTCTCTTCACAGGCTGTGTGCTTCAGGCCCCTGGCTGCTTTGCTTTGGTGGATGACTATGATTTCCAGTTTGTCCACATCCCTCTTGAATTGGGAGGAGGTCCCAAAACAATATTTTGGATGTGGCCTCACCAGTGCTGAATGGAATAATAACTTTCCTCAGCCTGCAGGCCCCCACACTTCTTCTGAAGTAGTGCACTGCATGCTTTCCCCTATTTGCAGTGAGTACATTGCTCACCTGGCATTCACTAACATCCCCAGGTCTCTTCAGCAGGGTATTACTCTGTCAGTCGCTTCCCAGCCCATACTGATGCTTTGCCACCCTTAAGAGCAGAACTTTCTACTTTTTCTTATCAAACTTCATGAGGTTTCTGTTAGCCCAGTCCTTAAGGTTATTGAGATGCCACTGGACTGAAGCTCTGCCAGATGTTACCAACCACTGAACCAGGTTCAGGTGTTGTTTACAAATTTGCTGAGGGTGCACCCTACGTCATCACCCAAGTCCCTGCTGAAGATGCTGAACAGTAGAACTGTAGCCTCTCAGATGCTGGACAGTAGCATACTCATGACTACAGAAGTATGACATGAACAATGTTCGTGACTACTGTTTGCTGGAGTAAAGAGCAGGTTACCTTCCTATCTGTGTTGTCTCAGCTACAAATTGCTTACAGCCGTGTGGCTTTTCCCTCTAGTACAAAGCCAAGAAATCTTTAAAAATGGAGATGTTGAAGGAGTCCATCCATAAATCAGTTTCTCTTTGGATCCTCTGGTGCCTCCTCAGCTCAGATAAAGGGCTAGATGGAGTAAGAGCACACACAGATTTCAAGTCTATGTTGTATTTACTGGTCAAAACCTTAGCTACAGCACCTTCTCTAGAGGAATCCTGAATGGGAGTTGTTAACATGCATATACATATATGTGTATACATATATATATATGTGCATTTTTAAAACTTACGTTGTCTGTGGTAAGTTATTGTGACATTCTTTGTCATTGATCCCGTATTTTCATGAGACTTGAACCTCACTATAGGAAGGGAATGGGACGCGTGGTGGAGCTGCATGTTGTTAACTTCACCAAATTCAGTTTAACTATTCCTAAAAAAATTTTAAATATTTAACTTTGCAAATGAATATGGATATAAATTTATATAATTATGCAGTTGATTATAGAGAAGCCATCCTGGATTTATCATGTACTTGATATGTTGTAAACTTTGAGAACTCCCTGAAGTCCCAGTTTCTAAAAACCTACCTAAGTGTGTAAGTATATACACATGAGTAATCCTGGGTGAAATCCCAGGTTTACTGATGTTCTGAAAGGCACACTGATTTCTCCAGGGATGAAATCAGTTTCACAAAACTCATCTTGAATTTTGGTAATTGTAGAATAGAAGCCTCCCATTCAGTGGAGAGCTAGTGCTGTTACAGCTGTTAGGTAAACCTAGCTTATTTCAGAGCATGCATGTGGACATAATTAGTTGTATGGAGGACTACACTAGCTCCAAAGATATCCTGCTTGCTTGCATGGATTGGCAGTGTAAGTCCCTTAGAATATGTGCTTTTGAATAATAAGTGGCTAGGTTTTTTTAAAAAAAGCATGTATGTTGCTTGAGTATAAATTTGGTCTGTTGTGCAACAGCCTTATTTTTGTAATTAAAGCAAGTAGAGTTCTAGTTTGTTACACAAGGTGATCCGGAATTTTTTAAACCAGTTTTCTAATAATGGAATGTAACTGTCGGGTAACTGAAAAGGTCTGTGGAAACTAGAGCCATTTATTGAAAGAAATAGCAAATTCTTAGTTCTGTTTCAAATACTTGGATACAAAGTATCTTGAGAACCAAATGATCCCAATCTTTAGCTAATAGTTGTAACTACCCAACTTTTTAAAAGGGAGAGCAGTGTGAATTAAACTGTAAATCTTTGTACCTAGCTGAAGTTGCTGTGTGGGCTGACGTGCACCTGCACATTCACTGTATCAGTGGCTTTGATAGAGGTGATATTATTTGTGCCACACGCTACTGGATAGTGCCTTGCTAGAAAGAGGACTGTTTCTGTAGGGTCTTCTTAGACATGCTTAAACTTTGAACTGAGAAAAGGGTAGTTTCTATATTGCTATTTTTTTAATAATGCAGTAAACTGATTTTGAGGCCTGAGTCAAAAGACACATGCTTTGGAAGGTTGAAACAGTTCTTAATAAGTCTTCTGAACACGTGATTTTTCATAGTGTGGCTTTCTCTCTTTTTTTTTTTTTTTTTTTCTTGACTGTCTAGAATCAAACCTTCCAAGGGAAGTGGACCTGGAGTAAAGCCCCTAAATCCATGATTACACTTTAAAATAACTGACTCAAGTGTTGAGCAGCCCAAGTGCTATCACTGAAATGAAGAGTTGCTACCAAGCTCTCAGTGGATTTCTTGGTTGTCCCTCCCTGCCCTGTCCCTCTGTCAGGCCATTTATTTAGGGAGTCCCAATTCAGGGAGTACTGTGATTCAGAACACTGAGATTTTAGGCAGTGCCTTGAGACACTTCACAGGAGTGCAAGAGTGGGGTCATCACCAGGAAAGTGCCAAATCCCATTAGTCCACTGATTTCACTAGATCTTGGTGCGAGCAGTGGGAGGAGGAGGGAGCCCCACGTTTGTCCTGCACAGAGAGCGGGAGCAGAAGACATGGTGTGGAATGGCCATGGCTTGTTGTTGGCAGCCTGAGCAGTGGTTCTAACGGGGCCCTTGGCTGGCAGCACCGTGTGCAAAACCACACAGTGCCACCCTCCACGGGACTCCAGTTGCATCATGGCCTATCCTTCATCCTCTTGCTTCCTGAGGAATACGGGTGGGAAAATGGAGAACAGCTTCTTGAGAGCAGTCCTTCAGCCAGGGCAGATCCTGCTTACTCCCTTCTTCCTATTCTTTACCTTTTCCTAATGTGCTCTGTCCTGTCCTGTGTAGACCCACCTGCGTGCAAAGCTTCCACTCCCGGCCATTTGTAACATCCCTGTGAGGCTGCAAATGCAGAGCTGGTGTTCACCTTCACCGCGTCAGTGTTTCGTAACTCAATGGGAGAGGGAGCACGTTGCATCCTAGGCTGTGTACACGTGGAGTTTTAAATTATATATTAATACCGTGTTCATCTAATAAAAAGTATATTTCAAAAAAGACATTTGGACTCTGTTGTGTGTGCAAAGAAAACAGGAAAAATAAGTCTTTATTCTTGCTGCAGCTACCTCTGGTGGCAGCCTGGTGCTTTGGCTCGGGCAGCCCCTGCAGGTGAGAGCACTGCAGAGCTCTGCCTGGGATGGGTGAACCTGATTCTGTAAGATGCTAAGCACCTCTGATCCCTGTTGATTCATGGGAACTGCAGTGCGGGTTAAGGTCTAGGTCCTCCCCAGATAAATAGCAGTAAAGAAAAAAAAAAAAAGGTGATTTATTGTCTTACATTTTTGTGCTTTGTTTAGTTGATAAATACTGAGGAAATAAAGGCCAGATCCTCTGGGGTGACTTGGGACGTGGGGCCAGGAAGTTTTCATATACTGAAGATTTTCTCCTAGGGCTAAAATATTAAGGACCTCTCCTTTTTCTTGTCTGAAAGGAATCATAGAATCAGAGAATGTTTTGGGTTGGAAGGGACCCCAAAGATCGTCTAGTTCCACTCCCCTGCCATGGGCAGGGACACCTCCCACTAGACCAGGTTGCTCAAAGCCCCGTCCAACCTGGCCTTGAACACTGCCAGGGAGGGGGCAGCCACAGCTTCTCTGGGAAACCTGTGCCAGGGCCTCACCATCCTCACAGGAAAGAATTTTGTCATTATATCCAATCTAAATCTTCCCTCTTTCAGTTTAAAACCATTACCCCTCATCTTATCACTACACTCCCTGATAAAGAGTCCCTCCCCATCTTTCCTGTGGCCCCCTTTAAGTACTGGAAGGCTGCTATAAGGTCTCTCCAGAGCCTTCTCTTCTCCAGGCTGAAAAACCCCAACTCTCTCAGCCTGTCCTCACAGGGGATGTGCTCCAGCCCCCTGATCATCTTCGTGGGCCTCCTCTGGACCTGCTTGAGTAGGTCCATGTCCTTCTTATGTTGGGAGCCCCAGAGCTGGACACAGTACTCCAGGTGGGGTCTCAAAAGAGCAGAGCAGAGGGGAAGAATCACTTCCCTCAACCTGCTGGCCACCCTTCTCTTGATGCAGCCCAGGATATAGTATGGGTTTCTGGGCTGTGAGAGCACAGTGCTGACTTACAGTTTTTCAAACCCAAGTCCTTCTGTGCAAGGCTTCTCGCAACCCACTCATTGCCCAGCTTATATTTGTGCTTAGGACTGCCCTGACCCACATGCAGGATTTGGCTTTGCTGAACTTCATGAGGTTTGCACAGACCCACCTCTCCAGCCTGTCCAGGTCCCTCTGGATGACATCCCTTCCCTCCAGCGTGTTGACCGCACCACAGAGCTTGGTGTCGTTGGCAAACTTGCTGAGGGTGCACTCAATCCCGCTGTCCATGTTTCTAGCAAAGATGTTAAACAGTGGTCGAAAGTGAGTTCCTGTTTTGCCTATCCATTTTGCCAATCTGTATTTCAATATGTTTCATGAAGTTAAGTGTCTGGCCAAAGGTACAGTTTTATATCATTGCAGTCTTCCCTTGATTCAGTATAATATGTAATTATTAATACCTTGAGACTTGCCCATTATCTCCATCATGAACATTGCTATGAAAACTCTACCTACTTGTGTTTTCTGTACCCTGAAGTGAAGTTCTGTGCCACCTACTCTAAGACAGGACAAGTAAAAGAGATACGGATGAGGAAGGCAAGCCTGAGATGCCTGAAATGAGATCCTCAGCTGATGAAGGATCAGAGGCATCAATGTGAAGTGAGCAGATATGTAGCAGCGGATCTGTTGTGTCACGCTGGGTAGAGGCAGCCAGATTTTGCTGCAGGGGTGGGTGGAAACTGGATTGCCAGAGAGGAAGATGGAGAGATATTCTGTATCACTTTGTGCGTGTAGCATTGCTGCCTGCACTCTGTGCGTAATCCTGTGATGGTGTGATTCCTCCTGCGTGGCTGCCAGAGGATACACCAAGGGCATTCAGCGGGTGGAGGTCACACGATGTGAGATGCTTTGCTGTCATCCTCCCATGGGTCCCCAGCTCTGCGTGTGCTCCCTGTGCCAGGCGAGCATCAATGGCTGAAAGTATTTTAAAGTCATCTCTGTCTTTGCCTGCATACGTGCATATGTGTGTCTGTCAGTCTGTCTACATCTCCTACTCCAGAGCAGTCAGTCAGTCTGGGCTGTGAGAAGGGTGTCCTGAATTGGAAAATTCACTTGATTTGCTTTTTAGGTGACAGAACGACTTTCTTTTTATTTCCACAGACTTATCGAGCTGTCACTGAAAGTGCCTTCATTTTCTCATCTGAAGTAACCTCTCTCAGGCTGCATGATGCAGCACAGGTAAATGTGGATTTGGGGGCAAGTCCTCCATACATTGATTACTTTAAAGGTGACCATTGCACATAATTCAATCCCCCAATGATATGGGGAAACATTAGAAAATTATAGGATTAAGGATCTATCACCCTAATAAAAGGGCAACCGCAGCCTTGAAAAACTGTGTTCGGAAGGCAAGAAATAAATTGTTAGATTCTGTCATGCAAAAAGAGAGTTCAGGAGCAAAGTCCCTGAGAAATGTGTGCCAATCTCTAGCTGCTTGGTTGCCCCATACAGAGATCAGAGCCAACACAGGTAGGTGCAGTTGGAGAAATTCCTTCCTCTGTGTCTGGGGAAGCGGGCAGACCCTGAACACCCCATCCCTCTCCCTGCACTCCAGGATGGCCCCAGTGGGGTCACTCTGGAAGGGACAGAGCCGTTACATGCAGTTACTGCCATCCTCAGAAGATGCCTCACATGCAGCAGCCCTGGGCATGCTTCCTGCTCCTTGGTGCATGAGAGAGAAGGTATTTTTCAAACAGCAAAAATAAACAGAGCACTGATTTGGTGCCTCTTGAGTCCCAAAGATCGCACACCGCGGGTGAGTGTTGCTGAAGATCACAGCTCAGGTCTGTCCCAGCCTGCTTCTCCAGCGGCTGCTAGCCCATCCCTGCTCTTCTCTTCGTTAAATATTTCCAGCTCACACCTTCTTGTTAGGAAAACAGTAATTACTGAATTTGTTGGCTTTTGCGTACATTTCCAAGATAATGTCAGCCAATATTCTTTCTCCCTTGTAAATTTGTATGCCAACTTCTCTTCCACAGGACAAAGCTCCACAGTGCTGAAGTCAGTGTGGGCACAGCTGCTGCAGGGTCCCGGTCTTGCAGCACATTAATACCGGCTTGTCCTCCCTCTCTTTGCAAAATCCATCTCACAGAGCTTGCAGCTGGGGATGAAATAATGCTAACAGCTCTTCCTTCTTTTTTTCCTCAGCTTCTCTTATTTTCACCATTTTATGTGCTTAATGGGGGAGAAGGTTAGAATGTAGGTGTGAAGAGGCAGAGATAGATGTACTGACCAGCCATTCAGATGTGAGAACTAATAAAGCTGAATCACCCTTTAGCATGATATGAGCAGCCTACTAACATGTTCAAATACATAACTTTTATAATTTAGTTACAATTTTTCTAGTTAAAGCTGTATGTTGACAGGAGTCCAGTTCTTTCTGCCTCAGCTTCCTTTGCCAACACACCCATATTGTCCCTCTCCTGGCTACTGTCTGATGACTGTCTCTGCTGGGAACGGCCCTTGCAGAGCACTTTGGTGTTGGCACCTGTCTGCAGCAGTGGTGTGGCCGTATGTCAACTCCAAAAGACAGGAAAGCTGCTTGCTGAGCTGGCTGTAGCTTCCTGAGCACTGCCCCTGGCCAGTGCCATGACCCATGGAGGCTGGGCATCCTGCTGCCATCCTGCCATGCTGTGCCCTGTAATGATGGATAGTGGCTCTCACAGTTGACCCCCAAGATAATGGTCTTCCTACTACGAGACTTTTATAATTGTTGGCACCAGTGGTATAATTTTCCTTCAACACATTTTCTTCTCTGAGTTTTCATAGGTTTACACTCTTCCAGTTTTCTTCCTGGTTTTGTTGGATATAATTTTTCCTTTAGGTATCTTCTGTGAGTGGCATAAATTTGAGTTTAAGCCATGAGAGGGCTTTTAGGTCAAGATAGCTATACAGCACTGCTGTGAAATACACTCCTGAGGGATTAAGGTAAATTGCTGTAGCATCAGCACTGTTCCAGCAGGGCTATAATACGTAAGCCCTAAAGAGGCTATTTCATGTCCTTTGGAGCATTCTTGCTCTGAGCAAGGTGTGGGTATCTATCAAATCCTTTTACACCTAGAGAAACCTACAGAGGTGATGGCATTTCAGTGCAACAAAATTTCATGGTCTCTATTACATTGTCAACCTAGAGAAGATCCTTTGGTTTACAGAGCACCAAACTGTGTCTGGGTTTTTTCTGGTTTTTTTTTTTTTGGCTCTGCTGTGCTGGTTGGAAGGTTGTCTTAAAATTGCACTTATCTTGCATCAAAAAATAAACCTTCTTTGAAATTTCAGTGGAACTTTATTCATGGCCAGCTTATCTCCATCACTGTCATTTTATTTGAATAAGTCTCCCTCACAGGTATTACCTGTCATATGTGCTTCCATAGCAGTTTCCATTACTGCCTTAGCTACCCTTTTGTCAGGTGGAAGAAGCAGCTGAGCCAGTGCAGAGTCTAGTTCTGCTGCTGGTGCCATAGATGTCCAGGGACAACTGAGATTCCCTAGGATGAGAATATCTCCTCTATACAGTAGCATAACTCCATGAAGCAAGTCAAGAACGAACTCTTTAATTACTTCAGCTAGCAGAATTCATAATTTAGAGATGATCCTGATACTTGCTTTCAGTGTCTTGGCAGAAGTGTTGCCATTTAACAGTTTCTCATTTTAGCCCTGACTGAGCTATTGCTCCAATTTAGCATATTTTCTGGGCATATTGTGTGGGCAGATGAAAGAACTGCACTTGCTAAATACATGAATTAAACATTCTCTTGGCAGACTTTAACCTTTGATTAATTGAAAGGTGTCAGAAAAATCAATATCTGGGGATGTACTCCTTGAACTTACACCAGCTGCAGGAGTGAAATACAGACTTTGGAAAGACCGTGAGTAGCCAGCTATCTCTTTAAAATT